CCCCCGCCGGAGCCCCCGCCGCCCCCGGCCCCGCCGCCCCCGCCGCCACCATGGTGCAGAAATCCCGCAACGGAGGCGTCTACCCCGGGCCCGCCGCGGAGAAGAAGCTCAAGGTGGGCTTCGTGGGGCTGGACCCGGGAGCCCCGGACTCCAGCCGGGACGGAGCGCTCCTCATCGCCGGTTCCGAGAGCTCCAAGCGGGGCAGCATCCTCAGCAAGCCCCGCTCCGGGGTCTCGGGCAGCGGGAAGCCCCCCAAAAGGAATGCTTTTTACCGCAAGCTGCAGAATTTCCTCTACAATGTGCTGGAGAGACCGCGGGGATGGGCATTCATTTACCACGCATACGTGTGAGTAAAAGGGTGGGGGGCGAACCTGATGGCAGAGACCCCCCCCCGGTTCGGGGTGCCCTCCTCCACCCCCTCAGCCCCCCAGATGCGCCGGAGAGGAAGGATGCTCCAGCTGCAGAGCGGGTGCGGGGAAGGGATGCCGGGTGCCAGGGCGGCTTGGGGAGCCCCGGGGGATGCTGCGGGGGGCGGAGGCTGAGCCGCTCCCCCCATCCTCTCCCAGACCGGTCGGGCCGCCCGGCCGGGCCGCGCAGCATCCCGCATCCCGCATCCCGCATCCCGCATCCCTCGCCCCAGCCCAGGCGGTGCCCGGGGACGGGGCGGTGATGGCCATCCGGGGAAAGGGGCGGGGGGGAAGAAGCTGCCCCTGCAGAGCTGGGGGGTGGCTCCCAGGAGAGGTGCGATGCACCTAGCCCCTGTCTCCCCCTGCCCGCTGCTGCTTGCGGGGGAAGGGGCTGCTCATGCGGTCGGTGCAGGGGGCTGGAGCAGCGGGAGTGATGGGTAGCGACCGTTCCTCCGTCTTGCTTGAAATCACCATAGCAATGCTGTGAGCAGAGGAACAAAAAGCTCTGCTCAGGCACCGTCTCTCCTCCCCCCCACCCCCCAGCATCCTTCCCTCCCCGGCCCCATCTTTGCCTGCTGGGTGGCTGCAGTCGGTTTGGGGCCGGGGTTGGTTCTGGGGCTCTGCTCAGGGTTCTGGAGGTATTTCTTGCCCCCGTGGGAAGCGTCTGAATGGGAGATGTGTCTAGAAAGAAATGGTAATCAGTGTCTGGGGCTCCCTGCCTGTACAGCCGAGCGGTAAACAAAGGAGCATCCCTGGATGCACATCTCCCCCTGGGACCGGGTTTTGGGTAGAAATGGCCCAGCTGACCCGCGTTTGGCAGAAGGATTCCCTGAATCTCTGAAGCATTGCTGCATAGGAGCGCAGATGACTTCCCGTTGTTCCCAGGATTGCAAAGGGAGGGTCAAGATAAATCTCGGTGTTACTGCAACTCCCTTCCCTCTGGGACTTTCCACAGTCCCACCGGGCTCTTCCGCAGGCCTGGGCTCAGGCTGAGGTGTTCCTACCCTTGGTGCCAATGGCTTTTTTTGTTTCGTTTTTGTGGTTTTCCTCATGGCCAGGGCCTCTGTCAACCACGGCAAAAGGATTTTCGGGGCCTTTTCTGATTTTTTTCCCCCTCTCCATCCTTTTGCTGTTGTGCTGCTGTAAGATAAGGAGTTGGGATGTGCTTTCTGCTCCTCAGCCATTTTGTACATTGAGGCCTTCCTTGGAGGTGTTGGTGGGACCAGTTGGAGAGGGGAGATGCTGGCTGGGTGGAAGGGGGAGATTTTCTGAGCACTGCAGCGAGTTGGGGTCCTTGGGGGAGCTCATCTTACCAGGGAAATGAGAGAGGAGAAGGGAGAGCATCTGTGGAGCTCAGCTGAGGAGTGTGAAGTCCAGCACTGGGCATCCTGAGCACCTTTCATGCTTCGGCCATCCTCTGGAGTTGTGGGTGGTTTAAGTCACAAAATCTTCCAGAGGGGCCAGGTGTTCCTGTTGTGAGCTGGGTTATTGCCTGTGTGTGCACTGAGGGTGGGGATCTGTGTGCAATGTGCACTGTGTGCTGATAAACACAGGTGAGAGCACAGCTGGGGGACACGGGGGTGACAGTGACAGGGATGGAAGGGGCTGAAACCCAAATGACAAACAGCAGGGCTAGCGCTGACTGCCAGGGCTCTACAAACATCTTTGGCTTCCTCGGCTAACTTCTGTCTTAACTTCTGACCTGTTTGGCTCTCTGTGGTGGCATTTGCTTGGGCAGCCAGGAGAGCTCCCAGGGCAGGAGCAGGGTCACCCCAAACTGCCCCATTCCCAGTGCTCCTTGGCTCTCAGCACGTAGCTGCATCCTTCCCATCCCAAGCAGCTGCGTTTGTTCTGGGCTTGTGACTCCACTTGTATCCACTGTGGCACCACAGGGAGCCGTGTAAAACCAGCCTCTGCCCCCACCCCTCAGGCACCTGCTGGGAAATGGAGGCTGAATTCAGGGCTGAAGTGGTAATTGCTCCAATGTCTGTGAAGAGTTGGTGATATCATTATTTCATACGGTGTATTGGGAAGTTGTGTGGACTCCAGTTTTCTGTACTGTGCACATGATAGGCTCAGCCTTGGCAGTTAGCTGTTAGAGTGTTTGAAGAGCTGAAGGATATGGGAACCTTCACACAAAGTTACCAGGATAAGCTCACGCATCAGTTATCCCCCCTTTCTGCCCGAGTGAGCCTGGCATGGCCTGTGCCAGGTCTGTGAGTGCTGGAATGGGTTTTGTAACTGGAAATCAGTAATGCAGACTGACAGGACTGATAAAAAGCTTATTCAAAGGTGTGGGAGGATGACAAGACTGTCTCAAGGTCACAAAGTTTGTATGTTAGAGCTGGAGCCATTCCCATGTCCCAAAGGCCAGGGAAGTGCCCTACCTGTGCTATTGGGGTCCCTCTGTCTCCTCGTGCCCCAAACCTCATTTTGTGCCAAAGCCTGGAGCACAAAAGCACCTTTATCCCTCATCCTGAAGGAACAGAAGACTGTGGATGAGGGTGCCCTGCCCTGCCACTGTCCTGGGCTCAGTCAGCCCTCTCTACTGCCAGCACCCCTATTTCCCTGCTCCTGCTGCTCACGGGGACTTCTTGCATGAAGATTTACTTCCAGTGTGAGTGACTTTGTGATGCTGCAAGGCTGGGTTTTATCTCAGAGATGCTCACAGACCCAGCTGACTTTCCAGGCACAGAGATGCTCCGGGGCTGCTCAGGCAGCTCCCTGCATGCAAATCCAAGACAAAAACTTGAGATTCTCCCAGCATGGAGATATTTTAATAATTATGAGAGTACTTACTTGGTAAGTAGCTCTGCTAAATTCCTGCCTGCAGAGGCCCAGGCTGGTTCTGCACAGGGCCATTGATGCTCTGCCTTCAGATGCCTGTGCAGGTTGCATTTATTTCCAGTGCTGCATCCTAGATCCAATCCATCTGATTTAATTCCCCACCTCTTCCTGCTGTCGATCATTCCCTTTCACACCATTTCATGCATATGAAATCAGGGAAATTCAAACCAGGGAATCTCTCACTCCCCCATCCCTGGTCTCATCTCTGTTGTTGCCTCTCTAAAAGCGCCGTTACCTCTGTGAGAAAAGCACGGTTTTATATTTCTGTGTTATGATTCATTTTTGTACTTAATAGCTCTTCCTACACTGACACAACTGGGTGACCTGCTCTTGGGAGCTGTGTGTATGATATATATGATATATATGATTTATAATATATATTTTGCACAACCCCATGGACAGCTGAGCCTGGTGGGCCCCATTTTTGGGTGTAGTTAGACATGGTCTCTGGCTCCCAGAAGTCTGAGCCTCCTTTATCTCCCACCTTCTCCCAATATTTCCCTCAACATCTTTTTCTATTTTTCTATTCCCCCAACATTTTATTTTATTATTTTTTTGACAGATCCTTACCAATGCAGCACATGGCTTCATTCAGTTCAAGCTGAAACTTGAAAAGTTCAGCTGTGTCTAAATAGCAGGTCAGGCTTTCTGAGGGGTGCAGCAGCACTTCGATCTCAATTTAGATCTTTGTGCAGCTGGGCATTTGGCATCCAAAATTTTTCCATTCTATTACTCTGGATTATTTTTTTTCCCTTCTAGTCCTTTTGGCTTGGTTTCCATAACCTGTCCTGTGCTTAGGAAGGGCTGAAATTGCAATATTTGAAAGTGATTTTTTGTCCCTAACTGCCATCTTAATTCAGGAGGGATCACTGTGTTCTGTGCCAGCCTAATCAAGGTGCTCACCCTGGTCTGGGGTGTCTGGATGCACATTTGCTGATCCCTGGGTGAGCTGCTCAGGTTTGGTCCCTGAGCTGAAGAAGGGGCTGCATTTGGAACAGTGGCAAGAAAACAGCCTGCATTCAGGCACTTTTAAAGCTGTGTGCTCAGGAACCAACATAATTCTTGCATTTCCTACTTAGAATTTACAGCCCTAATGCACCTCTTTAACTGTGTTAAAAATAGTTTGGGTGCATTTTTCATCTGCATACTGTGCACCATGCATTTAGTTAATTAAGCAAGTGCATGAACTTAAATTATAATGAGGAACATTTCCTCCCTGTCTAATTCTATTAAAATTTCCTTGTACCATCCCTATCCCATTTGTTCTTCCCTTCTCACCCAGACAAGCCACCTCTCTCTCCAGTGTCCTGCCTGCACTGCCTGCATCCTGGCATGGCCATGGCTGGCACAGGGGGAGCAGAGAGTGGGTGAGGTGCTTCCCTGGAGTTCCAGGGTTTCTCTTTGCAGAAGTGACCTCTTTTGTGACTTTTTTCACTCCTCAGAAGTGATGAAAGCACTGTTATTTCACATAGATCCATTCCCAGATAATCTCTTACTCCAGAATTCAGGGTAAATGTGGTCTGACAGTCTCGATTGTCCATCCCCAAACCCTGAGGAGAGGTGATTCATGGCAAGCCCTCACCACCCTCAGCCAGGGTTGTCCTGGGCAGGTACGGTGCCACCAAACTCAGCCCATCCACCAGTGACGTGCAGGGACCTCTCCTGGATTCTCCTTCACACCTCCAGGCTGAGTGGGATGAAGGGGCCAGTAAGGATCTCCCTCCCACGGGTGCTGAGCTTAATGGACCTGCTGAGCCCTGACCTCCAGTGCTTCTGCCCTGAGCTGTGGGGTTGTGTCCACCCCAGGGACCAGGGACCTTCCTGGTGATCCCACCAGGTGCCTCACCAGCTCCTCTCCAGCTGCTTAGTCAGAGCTTGGTGGGAGCAACCTGATTTCAGTCGCTTTAATGTGTCACGTTCCAACCATCACATTCACCCCACACTGACATTAAGGAAATGAAAAACAAGCTGATCCTCTGGGTCACCTCCTTTTTGTGCTGCAACACACCTCAACCAGATGAGTCTTGCTACGGTTCAATGTATTAAAAAAGGAATAACCCAAAATGCAAGCCCCAAATCCTGTACTAAAGGC